CCTCATCCATAACCTTTGGTGTATTTTGCCCCCCCTCTCCTGTCCGACTCAGCCTTGTCAGGAGTAACATCACAATCAATGCTCCCTTCGACACCGTGCGTCACGAGTGCTGCAGATTGGCGAGGTCAGGGCTGCTCCCATCTATCACGGGGGGAGGGGGGGGGGCTTTGCGACAAAGCGATGGCAAAGCCGTGGGCCTGGGGTGTCCGGTGTGCTCCGACAAGCGGTGGAGGGGGGTTCGACGGGGTGTGAGGTGGGTGTCAACGGGCGCAATGTGACCGTGCTAGGTCGCTAATTGGCATGATGGAGGTACTGTATAGGTGGCATATTTTCAGGAAAGCAGGGAGAGCAAATTGATCGGGGGGGGGGGGGGGGGGGGGGGGGGGGGATGATCCTCCGGTGCAAATAAATGGGCTGTGAGACCACAAAGCTTCAAATCCTGGTCGAAACATGAAAAATCAATTTCCTTTCTCCTCCCCGACACTTCAACACCCCGCAACCTCCTCCCGGCCTTTTGTTGAAGGGTGCCGACTGTGCCGCCGTTTCGCTGGGGGAACGCCGACAACATCTGCCGGAGCCACGGATTGATGAATTGGCCGATCGGATGCCCGCAGTGAAAACTGATGGATTGATCGGTCCGGAGGTTGGAGCCTTTGCCTTTGTGGCAAGCCCAGGGGAGCGCAACCTCTGGAGGTCCGCTGCTCATCTGTCATGTCCGACACGCGGGGAATGAGATACGAAAGGCTGAAGCGTCATTACAGAGACATGGCGGGGCATATGGAAGGAGGTCTCGGCCCGAGAGTACGATAGCAAATCAAGAGTACAACAGGAATGAGGTGGAAAAGCGGGAACAGATAGATGTGGGGAGAAGAGATAACATAGCAGAGCAGTTCAGCGGAAATGTACCAAGGTCCACCAAGGTCAAAGAATCCCAATTTGAATCGCTACCAAAAATCGAGCCACACCAGATTTTAATTGGGTGGGTACTTCTTTCTCCCGGGATAAAAAATGTGAAAGTCAAAACTACGGAGCACCGGGACACGGATAGAACAAAATGCGCAGAACCATCCAGAAAGTGTGTTTGCGTTGAGTCGGAGGGAAAATTCCTCCACAGAGCTTCGGCAGAGGACGCAGTGAAGGACCTGAAAGTGGAGGGACGTCTACCTGGCTTTGGACAACAAAGCCGACCCCCCACGGGGAGCAGAGTGAACGCCGGAGAGGAGAGGACAACCTCTGTCAGGTAGGAGGCGAGGAGAATGTCGACGAGTGGGGGGACAGCGGGGGCGGGGACATGAATGCGGGGCGACAGACAGTGTCAGGTGGGACGTAGGTGCCTTGCCTGTCTTGTTCATGAACCCCTGCAGCATGTGAATCCGAAACCGGCTCCATATGTTCGGAGCCTGGCGCGATCAGGATGCAGTGGGCATTTTTTTTTTTTTTTTGGAGTTTTTTTATGAAAATTCATCCCATGGAGCA